CATTTGTTAATTTTGTTTTCAAACTAATTGATAATAAATGACGATGAGGGTAAAGCATCTGCAAACTCATGTTACTTCTCTGAACACATTTTGTGACATGTTTTGTGAACCTTAAATCTACGTCCATTTCGATACCTAATTTTTTTGCCACGTTCACTGCTTGATTTTTCCCTTCGTAGTTTCTACAAACTGTGAACAATCTTTAAAATAGTTTTTAACTACATTTTAAACGGGTTCAAATAACCCGATGAAGTTCAAAATTGCAAATAAATTCGGATAACAATTGGTATCAAAAACCATATTGAGCAGTCGTATTACGTATACCAGCGGCTTCGAAAATATCATCAGTTATTTTCATTTTTCAAGGGAGCATTTCTACAACTGTGTTCTTTACGAAATCCGGACTAGTTGAGTAGTGAAATATTAAAGGAATTTGAATATCATTTGATTTGAAAACTCATTATTTCTTCCAAAACCTTTGAACAAGTATGTAGCAGGCTTATGAGGCGCAGATCGTTAAGAGTATTTGGATTATATATTTCAGGAAGAACTAGTATGTTGGAAATCTTCCACATTTCAGGAAATATATTATTTTGCAAACATGAATTTATTATATTGGTGAGATATCTTAGTATTATAGGACAGCAAAGAAGTAGAATATCTATATAACATGAAATTATATCATCACCCACTTGGCAATTGTATTATAAATTGATTTCAAACTCTATATATACAGATTAGCATAACTCATTTCACTTATGGATTTCGAGAGTTTCCTCGTTTTTCGTTAGCTTCGTTATTACAGATACATGAAATTCTGTAGTAAAATCGACGTAAAATATATGACAGTTTCTAAGTTGAGGATTTCCATTTTTTTGATATTCATTTACTGTTTCATTTCGCCAGGATAATTTGATGATTTTTTTATTATTAACGTCGAAGTTTACAATTTCGTGAATTTGAAATCTAGGAGAAGAGAAGAATATTGAAAAATAGTTGAAAAAGGAGACAATATAAAAAATGAAGAAATTAATGATAAGTATAATAATAACAATTGCATTTATGAAATGATTTTAATGAAGTACTCAATTGGTTATGCATAGTTCGTCTTCAACGTCGAAAATAACTTCCAATATATGAAAATATGTATATTGGGATGTTCGGGATGACCACCGATAGACCGGTTTCGGATTACTTGCTTCTCGTCAGTACTGGGCAAGTCATTTCAGATGGAATCAACCGTCTGACTATCCCGAACAAACAAAATTGTTTCCACTGCGACACCTGTAGATAAAGCTCGCAAACAACTCCACAACCACATATGTCAGTAGATGGTGAGTAATTTTCTCGTCGGGACACGTAATCACAAAGTTGTATGTTCACATAAGAAGCAAGGGTAAGATGTTTTCACTTTAACTTGAGCATGACATATGCACCTCTCCAGAATATATTTATTCATCATACTAAACAAAACTGGCAACATGATAATTCGAGGATAATGACGAAGGCAGGAGGGACACCACAGGTAAGCGCGCCCAACACAGGTAATCGGGTAAACAAAGGTAATGGGAGCAACCCAGGTAAATTGAATTGAGGAATAGAAATCCAGTAAATCACTCTAGTTCCAAACACCAGACGTCACCTGAAGATGACAAATGAAACTTTGCCAAAACATTTTGAAACTAATCCTTGTGAGGTATATAGGCCATAACACACAGCATCAAAACATCAGAATGATAAGGAAGGCAATTATAATTAGAATATCGGCAGTCTGAATAAGAGAGATGTTGGACATTACCTCTCAGCTGCATGAAAAATCATTTTATTCAAAACTAAGGCCAGAGCACCACCAATAGCGAACACACGACTCAGAATAACAATCCATGTTCTTCCAGTCGAGCATGACACATCACACCACTCAATAACCCCCCCCCAATCTACCAGAATCGATCAATCAGGACTTTCCACGCCGAAACTATAGCCTATAGACAAGCAAGGATGTTTCAGTTTCAAGTTCAGCTACCAAACAGAGCACATGAATATGGCAAGTTCGATCTTGCCGAAACGTCGTGATGCTCTCAGGTATACGTGGAATAACAGGACTACATTAAAACATACAATTTTTCGATATTTTTCCATTCGGCTTATTGATAAATTTTAACTTTGATTTCTTCGTATTCAGATTTGACAAATATATAATTTGGGGTAAGTCTAGAAAGCCATCTCATTCTGAAGTTTGAAAAAGTCCTGAAGTAAAAAATGAGAGTCAGTCAGTTGTAGGTGGTACATGTTGAAACAGTTACCAAAAGTTGGGAAGTAATTCAGCAGTAGCTTATAGGCTTATATCACTTTTGATATTAATTATAACTGGAATTGATCAAACCAAACATCTTAAAAAAATAGGACAAGAAAACGAGACCGCTATATAAATAATCACCTTTCTGTACCATGTGTTTTACGGTTTTGATGTAGGAAACACCCCAATCGTAATAAGTATCTGAATTGATAAAGGTCGTTCAGGAACTTTTGGCAAATCAATTCCTCCTAATTTTTCCAAGATTTTCACGTGCACCACTTACAACTGATATCATTAACACTAGGGATAGTTTCAGTCTTGAAGGGAAGACGCCAAATCTCATGCAGTTATTTATGATATATGATATAATTTCACTTATGCTTGGTATACTTCTTCTCATCAAAGAAGTGGGGATTTCATCGTACCCACTAGAGTGTTTATTTTTAACTTTATGTCTTAGTTCCATTACCTCTTGAGGAGATATTGGCTTTGCTAACATTGACTCAAAATTATAGTTTATTGAACATTCAAAAGGAATATTTGGGAGGTTTGATATTAATTCTGGAACAATTTAAATATATATGAAATTCTGAGACGAATATTCTTGACTAGTAACAACTCCATCTAGTTAATATTGCTGGAGTTTTTCCCCAACGCCAAACCGTTATTTTAACATCTCGTTTCAAACAGTGCATCACAAGTCCATCTAGTGAACAAAGTCCCAATCGGGAAAGAAACATCCCATGTACCAAAACTCTAACAGAAATCAAAAATGAAAACTATCGAGGAGAGAGACATACGTCTCTCCGCATGATCATCTACGAGACTAGCCTCTGTCAGGAATCTTACATAAATGTTTGTCGGATATAATTCAATATCAGTCGTGGCATCAGCCGAGGAAGCAGTTGTTTTCTGACAGACGTTTACTGACGCCTACTGTGTAGGTATTTTGTGAGAGATTAATATTACGAAATATTAATTTTCTTATACGCATGTATCTTTTCCCGATATTTTCATAGAGAAAAGTTGACTGATATCCATAGTTTGACCTCCTTCATAATAACAATTCCTCGATACCATAACTAAGACACTCGACATGCGTTTCGCTACAAATTAGCATCATCAGACAGTTATTCAATCTGGTATTTTTATAGAATACCAAAGTTGAGATTTTGTGAAATTGAAATTTCACCTTCTCGTTTTATTCAGATTGGATGTGTGGTTTCATTGTCACTTTTTTCAAATATGCTTGTGATGTACGACATTTTAATAGCTTTTCGAAAATATATCTGATTATTGTAAGCAAAACCTTCTTTTCAAAAATTCAAAATCGACTCGAACTCTAGTATATGCTTAGTGTTCAGAACTGAATCGATCGAAAAAGGTGAATCATGACTGTCGAACGTGCAGAGTGGCATTTACAGTGGATCATGAGCTGTAAATATTTTTATGAACACTCGTTTCAAGTGCTCTAGAAATAAACTCATACCTGTTGGCGTTGCCTTTCTAAAGGGGCCTATACTTACACAGAGGAAAATTTTGTTATTGGGTTGCTGAAGATTATATTCAATTTCCTTTTAGATTCGCTATTCCCATACAATTGATAATATGCTAGATGTTATTGAAAGTTGAATATGTTTTTGCAGTTTGGGCAATACCAAATTGCAGTAAAAAGCATAGACCTTGGTTGGAAAACAAAAACATTCAATCACTTATTGTAGAGTTGTCAAAAATTCCAAAGGACTGAAGACACATTCAAACAGGTTTCATCGTTATCACGAATCTGTTGCTACATTCATTTCGTCAGATAACGCTGATCTACTTGCAAATTCTAGTTTATGCCATGTTGAGTATGCCAAACTCAAATTAAAACCCGAACCATAAGGAGAATTTCAAATCAGTCATTGACAAAGGTTTTAAGAGAGATTTGGAAATACCCTTTTTTAATTTGCCTATAAAACTTTGTGCATCTCTTCAAACAATAATAGATGCAAAATATATCTTACTGACGTTATCAAAAATATTTATGAACGGACGGATTCATGCTTGATGAAAATATACAGGGTGTGAGTACGTTGAAATATTCAAGTGACGTGTTCCTGAGACAATTTCAAGAAAAACAAATGTATGAACTTGTGTCCGAAAATGCTTCGTTTCGGA